GAAACAAGCTAAAAACAATATCAATTTTGATTTAATTTTTTAATTTTTTGCTTGTTTTAACGAAATTTTTACAATATTCTTTGTTTTTATTTCAAAAACGTGCTTATTGAAAAGGGAAAAAGTACGCTATTTTTGGTCCAATTTGTTGAATTTTTGGATGGTTTTTAACGAAATTTTGCGAAATAATCGTTTCTAGCTGAAAAACACAAAAATAAATTGTCATTTCCGACCCTGTCTAGTAAAATCTTGTAAAAAAACAAACAGGAGTATTTTTAACCATTTTGGTGGTTTTTCGATCTCTTTGGAAAAATAAATGAACTTCTGGTTCAAAAACGCAATAAGTCGAACGAAATAAGCTAAAAATTATATCAATTTCGATTTAATTTTGTAATTTTCTTAGTAATATTTCGAACTTTTTGTGTTTTTATCTCTCAAAATTATGTTTAACCGCTTAAAAAAGGTCAAAAAACGCCGTTTTGGAATATTTTGTTGAATTTGTGGCTTATTTTTATCAAAATTTTTCGAAATTAATGTGTTTCTACATGAAAAAGCATTTGAAAAAGACAAAAATAAGTTGTCATTTTCGACTTTGTTTAGTAATATTTTGTAAAAACAAATAGAACTATTTTTAACCAATTTGGTGATTATCGATTTTTCTTTCGAGAAAATTTGACGAAATAATGAAGCTCGAAAATGAGCCTAAGACTTGGGTAAAAATATCATAATACATATAAACATTTTTATAACAATTTAGTGATTTTTGACACGCTCTCGCGAAAAAAAAACAGTTTTCAGCTTAAAAATCTGCTTTAATCTTCACAAAAGGAAATTTTCGGCCTATTTCTGTAATTTTTTGGCTTGTTTTCAATAAAAATTTGCAAAATAATTGCGTTTCTAGATGAGCATTTGAAAAAAAAACAAAAATATAAGTTGCCATTTTCGACTCTGTTTAGTAATATCTCGTAAAAAACAAATAGAACTATTTTTAACCAATTTGGGGATTATCGATTTTTTTTTTGGAGAAGATATGACGAAATAATGAAGTTACAGCCTAAGAGTTAGGTAAAAATATCATAACATAACCTTTTTTTAAGAATTTAGTGATTTTATATCATTTTCGGCCTAGTTCTGTGATTTTTAGGCTTGTATTCAACAATATTAAAATTAAAAATTAAAATTAAAGAAAATTGTTTCTAGCTGAAAAACAATAAATTGTCATTTTCGATCCAGTCTAGTAAAATCTTGTAAAAAAAACAAACAGGAGTGTTTTTAACTATTTTGGTGRTTTTTCGATCTCTTTGGAAAAATTTGACGAAATAATCAAGTTTCTCCTCAAAAACAGTTTTTTTAATTTCCAAAAAATCACTATATTCTTATAACACTTTTCAATAAATCACCAGATCTGATGAAATTTTGCCACACCTGGCAACACCGCTCGTATGACCGGTCATATGACCCATAACCAAACTTGTTTTGCCATAGATTCAACGCGTTTTTAAACCAAGAACGCGAACGCAAAGTCATAATGTTGAAAGAGGGGAGCAACAACAGATGGAGCTACTTTACCCATTGTGCCGCTTTGTGCGTCTTGGTCTCAGTGGGGATATGCAACGCCCCCCTCCTCCACGACTACACCGTCCTCTACAAAGGAAGTCTGGATGAAACAACGTTGGCGTGCATTGTCGGGGGAATCCTCCATTTGTTCTTCTGGATTGTCATTTGGCTATTTTTGACCATAAAACAAACCTGGATCTTTAAATTGAGAGTTACAGTAATTCCCCCATTGCCCCCCTTCTCCTGAAATTTCAAGGATCGAATTTCAGGTCGGGAGAGCAACAGTGCGTCAAGCTCGCTCCCTGAAACTCGTAACCGACATCGATTTAATGTCTTCAAGAGTGGAGGATCTATCCCAACAGCCCCTCTTGATCGTGGGCAATGGTCGTACTTACAACATCGCTGAGACTTCCCCCAAGAAGGCCATAATGAGCGTCATCCAGAAGGCCACCATGAGCAAAAAGGCCTCCAATGGCTCAGTCTCGAACCAGGAGGACGACGAGGAGCAGATTTATTGGCTTCGGCCGGCGCTAGTGACCCCCCAATCGTCCCCCGACGAGGCCAAACAGTTGTGTTGGTTCAAGAACAAGTCGAAACATAAAGTCACTTTCAACGAAACAACTAGTACGTCTGTTAATCGGTAACGCCTCTTCTTAATCGGTGTTGTGGCTTCTTTCTTCCCCTCCTTGGTGAGGAGTTGAGTGAAAAATTGCGTTTTTTCTCTTCTAGTAGTAAAAATGGTGGAGTACGAGGACGACGATTGACGACGATGGATGAGGATGACGGGGATTATGCCACGCTGAGGGAGCTTCCGCTTCCGCAGCCGATTCGAAGGCCGGAAAATCGCGAAGATACGGTTAGTGAGGAGGGAAAGGTGAGTTTTAAATTTGTTGTGGAGAAGTTTGCATCATCCTTTCATTGCTTTAGCTTCTGGCTTGCGTGCAAGATGAACATGTAACATACGCTAGTAATAATCAAGATCTAATACCTCCTGTAGATTATGAGGATCCGAGTCCTTTACTAACACCAGAACCATTATACGCACAAAAAACACCCGCATCTGTCATTGTTCATAGTCATGAGACACAGGTAGGTGGCTGGCAGGCGCATTTCACTCATTTCTGAGAAATTCGAATCTAAATCTAAGCAAAGATGTTTTTATTTTTGACTCTAGAATCTGATTTTTTCACATTCGAATCTAAGGGCTAGTTTCATAATCGAACTAAAGGGACTTTAAAGTTAAAGTTGGTTTAGAATGTGCTGATTACTACGGATATTTTAACAAAATTTCACATTCTATACTAACTTCACTTTAAAGTCTCTTTAATTTGTATATGAAACTGACCCTAAATGTAAGCAAATTTGTGTTTATTTTTGACTTTAGAATTCCGCTTTTTACATTAAATCTAGACTTAGATCTGGATTTCTAAATAGGAATCTTTGGATTTTAGRAGATTTGAATCTAAATCTAGGTAAATCTGTTTTTATCTAGATCTAGACCTGGTTTCTAGGAGATTCCAATCTAAATCTAAGTAAACTTTTCCTTACTTAGAATCCTGTTTTTTACATTCCAATCCAGATCTAGACCTGGATTTGTAGATTTGAATCTATACCAAAGCAAACTTGTTCTT